GAACTTCAGCAGATAAAAGATTATGAATTAAAGAAAACAAATCCATCTCTCGTGTACTTCCATTATGAAAGGATCCGTAAGTATTGGTTGAAACAGGAAATTTCTTTTCCTGCACTAAAAGAAAAATCTCAGCTGATTTGTGTTACCTTTATTGTGTCACCCAATGAAAAAGGTTTTGAAAACTGCATCGACAATCCTCTGAGCACATTTCCAAGGATTTCCTTGAAAGCAAAAGCAGTAGCCACCCCTATAAGAGGATTGAATCAGTTATATCATTATTTCAAAGTCAATAACAAGTTGAATTTATAGTAAGTAGAAATAAGAAGTTTAGTTTCAAGAAAAGCAACTAGGCGTCATCCAATTATTTTTCAATCGGATTGAATCCAAATATTTTTATTTAATTATTCACTAAATTTTAAGATAAATCACACTCTCAACATTCCTTTTGTTGTTTTTCAATCGGATAATTGCAGAACCGAACCCTGTACTTTATGAAATATTTTAAAATAAATTATTTATAAATAAATAAATATATTTTAAATAAATTATTTGAAAACAATTGCAAGTACAACATTTAAAATTGAGAGCTCGTATAATAATAATAATATATATATATATATTGAGAGCTCATCAACTGCCAAATTGCAATTTTGTTCAAAGATTTTTTTATATGTGGTTAAATTTGGCTGTTAATCCTTATAGATAAAATTTAACTGACCCTATTCTCATATGTAATAGGATAAGGGGAGGTAGGGTAGTAGGTTGCCCCCAACATCGGGTTGAGAGCAGCTTCCGTGGAAGACCTCTGGCAGTCAAAATTATAAATTGTCCACCATGGGGACTTGATCCCACAACCCCAAGATTAAGAGTCTTATGCTCTACCAACTAAGCTAGATGGGCAGTTATGTTAATCCTTATAGATGTAGTCTTTATACTTCAATTTGATTTATTCTAGACACATACTTTTTGGATTATGAATTTTTATAATCCAAACGGTTCGATGATAATAGGACTCACTTATAGGGATAAAAAGATCAAATTGGAAAACACAAACTAAATTTACAATTGACTCTTAGCACATGAACTAATAATAGAGTTCAATTTAACACGTTTAACAATTGTTTAATGACCGAAATTTTAAAATTTAAATAGTAAAGGAACTAAAAATAACTAAATTAAAACACATAGACTAAATCTACAACTTATACATAATACAATCACTAATATCAGAACATAACATAGGTTTCATAAATAAATGGTTGTCCCTTATTCCCATATGTAATGGGGTAAAGGGGAGATAAGATAGTAGGCTTCCCCCAACATCAGGTTGAGAGCAACTTCTGTAGAAGACCTCCGAATTATGAAATACCCTCCGTGGGACTCGATCCCACGACCTCAAGGTTAAGAACCTTGTGCTCTACCAACTGAGCTGGATGGTCATCTTTAGGTCAAGATTTTTTGTGTAAACTTGGGGAATTTGTTGCATCTTACTTGTTAATATACATTGCATTACATTATATTTAGCTTTCGCATTGAATGAAGGGGGTTAAGCCCGTTTTCTACATTTTTGTCTCCACATCGTCGATACTTTCATCTCAACTATACTATACTTGTGTATTTCACAATGTTTCAAAATTTAGATACACTGCTGTGACTTGAGGGCTTGCTGTGGATCGAGAGTTAGAGCGCATTGGGAAGTACAAGTCTATTGTAAAAGAATATTCCAACTGTCATGGAGGAGCCTAACGATTAAGAAGGACACCGAAAATTTATATTTGTTGGACGATGCAATCCACGTGACGCATGAGTTGACTTGAAAGATTATAAGAACACGATAATTATTCTCTCAAAAAAAACTTATTCTTTGTCTTCCCCGACTTTGCTCTCTCAAATTCGGTTTAGGGTGAAAAATACTTGACCCGAGAAAAACATATAATTTTATCTTTATATTTATGGATAATTGCAATAATGTCCATCTATATATTATTTTTTAATTAAATCCCTATTTTTATTGAATGAAAATAATATTTTTTTAATAAATATATTGTTTCGGGCCGGATTCAGATTTTATCTCAAAAAGTCAGGTCGGGTCGGATTCGAGTGGAGAATGTATAATTTTTAGGTCGGATTGAATTGACCGAAAATCCGACTCATGCCCATCCCTAATCGTGATATGCTTTGATGAATTTAAAAGGAGCCCTCGAGTAGTAATTGATCTAGTGTTTTTGGGATTGTGGATGATTTTAACTTTGATTTAATGAATGCTATTTTTTTATTTATCAGCTTAGAATTTTTGTTGTTATTTACTTGTTGAGTTGATGACTTACACTTTATTTGTTTAAGCATTCACTAGGAGGTTATGTTTGTTTTTATACTCCAGCGTATCGATAGATGATAGAGTATCTTAGAAGAGCATCAAGAGTTATTTGATAGTTGAGAGAAATTTAGTTATCTTTGAGAGTCGTGATATTTGTTAGGTTAGGCATACTTTTGTCAGGTGTGTTTAGTGGGGTGGCAGCGAGAGAGTCACTTCTCTAGTCGAGACCTTATTTCAAGCGTGTTGATACTTACCATATCCTTTTGGGTTAGATCATATATGTTCCCAGGTCTATTCAGTTGTGAGTTACAAACTTAGGTGCAAGAGCCTTCTATCACATTTCTTATCTACTTAGAATGTTTATCCATTCAATTAATTTATCTTGATGAATTTGTTAACCACACTATTTTATGTGAGATCGATACCTCACACACGAGAGTGTATCCACTTTATTACTTGAAACGATAATGGAAGCTTACACTTGTCGGTACACACATCAATACCTAATTGTACGTACCAAAAAAATTAGATATGTATAAATAATAAAGTTAAGTATATATTTAATCAAAAAGAAACTTTTTCAACAAACAAATTTTAAAAAGTTGAATTTATTTATAAACATAATGAGAACAAGACATTGGCTTATGGGAGGTTAACACTTATTTAAGTTTTAATATGTATAAATATATCATGTGTGAATTTTCATTGAAGATTTTATCTTAATTTTAAATTCATTATACGTGAGTGTTGTTCAGATACATTTTGGTTATTAGTTTAATTATTAATGTATATTTGTATAATTCTCTTAGGTAGCGTTTGGTTCGCAGGAATCCCTTGGAATTAGGGGGAATTGGAATCCAATTCCACCACTTTCTCATGTTTGGTTCAAGTTTTCAAAGGGAATTGGAATCCTAAATGACTTTAACTTTTCATCAAAGGGGGGAAATTAAATTCCATCCATAACATGAGGGAATTAAAATCCTTTTGAGGAGGGAATGTGAAATTTGACCATATTACCCTCATCAATCTTTTGGTAACTTATTAACATATTTTGATTGGGATTAGTGATTGCCACTCAACTCGGACCCGATGGGTTCTGACCCGACCCCGTCGGATTTTTTTAAAAAAATTTGGGTTCGAGTCGGGTCGGGTTGGGTTTTTTAAGTGTGATATTCGGGTCGGGTTCGTGTTTAGGGTGAAAAATACCTGACCCGACCCGACCAGAAAAAAATATATAATTTTACCTTATATATTTAGGAATAATTACAATAATACCCCTCTCTATATATATTTTTTCAATTAAATCACTGTTTTTATTGAATAAAAATAATTTTTTATTATTTCTGGTCGGGTCGGGTTTCTAATTCATATATTCGGGTCGGGTCGGGTGAAACTTTATTTTGGTCGGGTCGGGTCTCGAGTGGAAGTTCTCTTGTTCTCGGGTCGGGTGGACCAAAAACCCGACCCAACCTATGGCCATCCCTAATTGGGATGATTTTAACTTATGATGTTTATTAGCATGATTTTTATAATTTATTGAAATGAATAATCAATCAATAAAATGAAAATTTAATATTTTTAAATTTTTTATAATATATTGCTATATGTAAGTTATAAAACAAATTAAAATTAAGCAAAAAGAAGAAGAAAGACAATTCTGTTATTTTACATTACTTAAATCAAATTAATCTGACATGTCTACGAATCAAACATAATATGTAATTGGATTCCAATTCAATTTCCTGCCAACCAAACATGTTTCAGATTCAGATTCAGATTCCAATTCCTGACAGATTCCAATTCCTGACAGATTCCAATTCCTTCACAGATTCCAATTCCCTCAGAAATATTCCAGCGAACCAAACGCCACCTTATTCATTCATTTTTTAAGAAATAAATTATCTACATCTCGATTCGACTACCAACTAGTTGTTTTGGTCCAAATATCATTTCTTCATCAATTGAGTGTTTAAATATTACAGAACCGAACCCTGTACTTTATCAAATATTTGAATTTCCCTCTAACTTTATTTCCCCCATTCCATTTGTTGTTTCCAATGAGATAATAACAGATTTGGTACCTATAATTTATCAAGTTTTTTTTAATATAATTCTTCCACTTCCAATTTCTTGTAAAAATATCACCTATAGTTTCATTTAGTCCATCAATGTAGTACCTCCCTCTTATGTTTTTTAATGGGATGATTGAGAGATTTGACCCTTTTACTTTATCAAGCCTTTTAATTTAGTCCATGCGATATATAAACATACACAAAAAAATATATGGGGTGGGCCATGATATAAGGTAGGCCCAGGATAATATGGAATCAAGAATCAAACTGCTTCTTCTCCAATCTCCCATAACTGTTCCCGCTCTACCATCTGAATATCTGATCCCCATTACCATTCTCGTTTCTTTCTCGGGCGGCCGTTGAATCTCCGTTCAAGGACCGGTGGAACACCGCCCCGGAACTGCCAACGCCGGTCACAAGGCTTCTTTCATGCAAAAACGCTGGCAAGATAATATTCCAAGAATACAGAGTTTTTGCCATTGATCTTAGTAAACGGGTGAGCAAGATAATATTCCAAGAATCTCTGAAATGGTCTCTTTAAATTGTTGTTCATAGGTTAACCAGAGTCTTTAAATTTTTGTTCATAGGTTAAGCAGAGTCTTCACTCACATATGGCTGATTTGGTTCAAAGACTATCCAAGAAAAGGAGCGTGGAAAAGGAAAAGGAAAAAGATATGGAAAAGGGTCAAAAACACATTGATCAACTTAGCAACCTACCAGACTCCATTATTTGCCACATTCTTTCCTTTCTCCCCACCAAATTGTCAGTTGCCACCAGTACCTTGTCGAAGCGATGGAAGCATTTATGGACTGCTGTTCCCGTCCTCTCCTTCAGTTCAGCAGAATTCATTGGTACATTGGGCAGCTTTGTGGATTCTATAGGTAAGTTTTTAACCAACTGTCAAGCTCAAAATGTGTACCAGTTTACCATAGACTTTAAACCTTTCTTGGAAGTGGATGAAGAGCATCTGGGTACATGGGTTGCTGCTGCAGTTGAAAGGAATGTTCAAGAGCTGAAACTCAGCCTCAAATTTTCACATGTACCAACGGTTAGACTGCCTGGTCGTTTATTTGCTTGCAGAACACTCGTATCTCTCAAGCTGATTGATAATATTTTCATCGATCTCCCAGAAAATGTTTGTTTACAAAGTCTAAGGACTCTGCAACTGGAGCGATTACACCATCCTACTTTCTGGTTGTCCAGTTCTTGAGGACTTGGTTGTTTGGAGGATTTTGGATGATGGGATTCTTGATATGGTCATCAATATTGCTTCATTGAAGAGACTGAATCTGAGGAATAGTAATTATGAAGCTAATGATCACGGTTTACTGATCAGCGCTCCGCTCTTGGAAAGGATAGAGCTGTCGCAGAATGTTTTGAATTTTCAGATAGATTCTTCCAGCTTGGTGGAAGCAATCATAGATATCCATGTAACATGTGAGCCCATTGAAGCGTTCGCTAATCTTGAATTTCTGTCTTTATCAGAATATGCCTTAGATGGTATGGCGTTTCATGAGTTCCATAATCTGGTATGCCTGGAAACTACAACAAGCTGTGCAAATTGGGATGATCTGGAAGAGTTGCTTCACGGCTCAAACAATCTCAAGACTTTGGTATATCACATTGAAGTACCAATTCTCCACAGGGGTCACAACTGTGATAAGTCATTTTCGAAGACTGTTCCGGTGTGTGTGTCTGCGAGTTTGAAGGCCCTTAAACTGACGGGATTCATCAATCAAAACTGTAACTGGACATTCATTCAATATATGCTGAAGAACGCCAAATTCTTGGAGGAAGTGAAGATCAGGACTTCCTCGATGTTGAAGAAACGACGCAGCCATATTAGAAACATGTTGAACTGCCCTAGGGCCTCAACAGAATGCCAGATTCGTTTTTTCTTGGACTCGACAGGCGAAGAATATCGGTTGTGATTGAAGTTCTCTGCATTCTGGTTTTGTAAATGTAGTTGCTTGTGAATATTGCTTGTTTGAGTGTTGAACACTGAACTGAACTGAACAGGTACATTTGATAATAGTAGTCCCCGACTCCCTGCTATAATCTACAAAGTTGCTTGTTTGCGAATATTATCTCTTGTTCCATAATCTGAACAGGTACAAAGTTGTTTTTTTCATGAGTCAACTCCTTTGCTAATTAATGCTGCAAATACCTTTTCTTTCTGTTTTTTAACTTGTTCCTTTTTCTTTTGCATCCATGTAGTTTATGTTTTGAAATAATCAAAACTAACAACAAACGGGATATATAGAAAAATCCAAATGAAGAATATAAACAATGAAGGAACTAATATCACCTCTTGTGCTGCTATGTTTGGTATAATGTCTATTTCCATGATTTTAGACAACTTTAATTCAAGGAGCTTTCTATTATGATATCAGATAAGAGGATAAAGGAGATTGGGACAATAGTCATAATTAATTTTAAATATACGAGTAATTTTTATGTAAATTATATAAATTAAAATTTATATAATCATAATTATTTGAAATATAAATCTTAAATCTTAAACTCTAAGTCTTAACTAATAGACTGTGTATAAAATTTCCCTAAATATATTTATCAATATTTATTTATAAATCTTCCATGAAACTTTTTATTTATTAATTGATAAAGTGACATTTTATGATTTTCCGAAATATATAAGACTTAATATCAACAATACACTAAAATATTATCTCTATAAATAAAATGAAAAAAAACCCAACAAATTAAGTAATGTTTGAAATTGTTGATATATCACAGGTGATTATGTCAGTTGATGACAATACATCTCTTTTAATTTTGGTGGAAAGTTGTAGTCAATAATTTATCGATAATCAGTCAGCTTTTGACGGTAGAGCAACAAGATAAGGTCACATACTTACACCGGTGTAAAGTGTTACAATTAACACATACTCATACCTTAAATAAACAAATGGTCCCCTAACTATAGGATACTACTTTGGTGAGTCATTGGCTATTAAAAGTTATAAAATGGTCCCTCGACTATAAGAAGTTGTTTTGTTGAGTCATCCGGCTATTAAAAGTTACAAAATGGTCACCCGACTATTCATTATGTTCCAAACTCGTCATTTTCTGTTAAAAAATTAACGACAATCTGAGTTTGATTTTAAACTGCTGACTGAGATATGATAAAACTTTATCTCAAAATCTCAAACGACTATCATATCTCAGTCGACATGTTAATTTCCAAAGCAGATGACCGTTAATGTTTCAACAAAAATGATGAGTTTAGAACATAATGAATAGTCGGGTGATCATTTTGTACTTTTAATATTTGAGGGACTCAACAAAGCAACTCCCTATAATCGGGCTACCATTTTATAACTTTTAATAGTCGAGGGACTCAACAAAGAAACTACCTATAGAACATAGGTGATTGTGTCAGTTGATGACAATACATCTCTTTTAATTTTGGTGGAAAGTCGTAGTCGTCGATGAACACCATTAAATTAAATTATAAAAGCTTTAAATCATAAAGTACTAAACGTATAAATATAAATTAGTTAAAATCTAAATGTAATTTAATTAAAATATAATATTTATAAAACATTATTTTTAGGGTAAACTATTCCATTGACCACCTAACTATCTATCCTTTTTACTTTAACCATTGATTTTTCAATTTTATCAATCGGGTGACCTAACTATTTAAATCTTGTCAATTAAGTCACCTGCCGTTAAATATTAACGGAGGAGATGATGTGTGCATGTGGCAGTTAATAAAATTTGTATAATTATACATTTAGTCTTCATTACTTACACTTTCTATTAATTTGATCCTAACTTTTATTTGATTAAATAAATTTAATCTTCAATTCGATGGTGACATGTGTTACTGTGTAATTGGATTTTTTTAATATTTTTTATTTAATAAATTTTCCATTCAATCAAGTAGTTGCATGTGTTGACCAATTGAATGAATGGAAAATAAATTAAATCAATAACCATTATTGGTGGGATTTGAACCTGAGACACAAGTTGAAAAACTAAGTGTCTTAACCACTAAGCTAGACCACTAAATTTGTCTAGTATACAAAACATAAATTTATAATAAAGTTAATGGTAATAAATGACCTTATAAAGACTCAAACATGAAATAATTGAATAGTATATAATGTTAAAGGTGATCATTTTGTACTTTTAATATTTGTGGGACTCAACAAAGCAACTCCCTATAGTCGGGCTACCATTTTATAACTTTTAATACTCGAGGGACTCAAAAAAGAAACTCCATATAGAACATAGGTGATTGTGTCAGTTGATGACATTACAATCTCTTTTAATTTTGGTGGAAAGTCGTAGGCGATAATTTATCGATAATCAGTCGGCTTTTCATGGTAGAGCAACAACATGTTAAGGTCACATACTTACACTGGTGTAAAGGGTTACAATTAACACATACTTACACCGGTGTAAAATGTTACATAGATTGATTTTAATTTATTTTATGGTAAAGTACACAAATGGTCCCCTAATTATAGATACTACTTTGATGAGTCCTTGACTATTAAAAGTCATAAAATGGTCCCTCGACTATAGGAAGTTGCTTTGTTGAGTCATTCGGCTATTAAAAGTTACAAAATGGTCACCCGACTATTCATTATGTCTAAACTCGTCATTTTTTGTTAAAAATTAACAACAGTCTAAGCTGGATGTTAACCTGCTGACCGAGATAAGATAAAACTTCATCTCAAAATCTCAAACGATTATCATATCTTAGCAATTAACACATACTTACCCTAGTGTATATACATCTCTCAATATCTTAGCAATTAGCATATACTTGCACCGGTGTAAGTATGTACATTTCGTAATACCTTAGTAATTAACACATACTTACACCGGTGTAAGTATGTACATCTCTCAATATCGTAGCAATTAACACATATTTATACTGGTGTAAGTATATACATCTCTCAATATCTTAGTACTTAGAAATAAACACATAATTTTATTGGTGTAAGTATGTTTCTATATTTTTAAAAAATTAAAAAATATATATATTAAGTTATTTGTGTATAAATTTTATTGAATATATATATATATATATATATTAGAGAATATAAAATTATATTTTCTATGAAATTATATGTAAATATTTTGACTTTAATATGAAAAAATTAACTTGTTAAGAAAGAAAATATATCTCAAGTATACCTTGGTAAAACATACATTTTTCTTATCTTATATTCCTTCAAACAAACATTATAATCTTAGATTGTTGGCAAACAAATCAAACAAAGTAATACAACATTCTCATTCATATGTTAAGTAATGTAACATTCCAATAATCTTATTTCTAATAGTAATCTTATATTTTGTGAACCAAATTATGATGACTACTCATAGGGATGAACTAGAGGGGCTGCTGCTAGGGACAGTCCCCTGCAAATTTCAAATGGTCATATATTTTAAATATTTTCTATTGATAATTTATTTTCGTTCCCTAACATAAAATCTTGTGTTCATCCCTAATCACTCTTAAGTTGACATGATAGGCAAATCTTGTTGTTGTGGTCGGTTGTTAATCAACTTTGATTCTATCAAATCAAGTAGGGTATGCTAGAAATTATGTCAAAAGATTATGATTTTTTAGGAATACAATACGCCAGGTCCATTACATCTTATGTTGAGATGTTCTTCCGTGGAGACTTTCTTTTGAAAACACAATCCAGATGTGTTAACGAGCAGAGTGAATGAGCTTTGTAAGGGGTATAATCATAGTAAAAAAAATCAACAAAGAATATGTATGTATTAAGTGATGCACAGAGACACCGACAATAAACAAAATTTCTTTTTTTAGAAAACGAATACGTACTTACACCGATGTAAAGTGTTGTATACATTGATATAAATTTATTTTAGGGTAAAGTACGCAAATGGTAACCTAACTATAGGAGACTATTTTGATGAGTCTCATGACTATTAAAAGTTATAAAATGATCCTTCGACTATAGGAAGTTGTTTTGTTGAGTCATTCGACAATTAAAATTTACAAAATAGTCACCCAACTATTCATTATGTTCCAAACTTGTACTTTTCTGTTAAAAAATTAACAACAGTCTGAGTTGGATGTTAAACTGTTGACTGAGATATGATAAAACTTGATCTCAAAATCTCAAACGACCATCATATCTTAGTCAGCATGTTAATTTCCAACTTAGACATCGTTAATGTTTCAACAAAAAATGATGAGTTTAGAACATAATGAATAACCGAGTGATCTTTTTGTAACTTTTAATATTTGAGGGACTCAACAAAGCAACTCCTTATAGTCGAGTGACCATTTTATAACTTTTAATAATCGAAAGACTCAACAAAGCAGTATCATATGGTCAGGGGACCATTTATATAATTTACCCTTTATTTTATTTCTTTTGGTTTTCTATCGTGGTTCTAAATCTTTTAATATTTGTTATTATAAAATAATATGATGCATACAATAAAAAGTAAAAAAATACTAAATTTTTATTTTATTTTGAGTATATATTATGTAAGTGTTTGATTCAAGTTTTATTTTTGTATGTATTTTGTTGAGTTTAGTTTTTAGTATTAATTTTCATAAAATGTTTTCTATATTATAATTTTTTATGTTTTATGTTATTTTTATCAAATAATTTGATATGATATTTCGTTGTACAACTCATACATGTAGCATGTATAAAATAAAAAAAGTGTAACAATTATCACATACTTACACCGATGTAAATATGTACATTTCTCAATATTTTAGCAATTAACACATACTTATATCAGTATAAATATGTTCATTTATTCTCTTATATGAAATATATTTTTAGTTTTTGGTGCTCGAAGAGGTAAAAAAAGTGTGGGGAAGGGAGAGTGAAGAAAAAGACTAGTCAAAATTATTATTTTTATGGTTAAATTGTGTCACCTCAGTAGTTAACACACC